ATATTCTCCCTGTTAGGTTTTCCGGACAAGATCATGTACAATTGGTATTATTTCTTTCTTAAATGTTAGGATTCATAGGAAAACCCTTGGCTTATTGTTCCTTAGATGAGAAGTGTGGGACATTTTCTATTATAGTACCTTTTCTGCAGTGGTAACATCTCCCCTTCTTCCATTCTGTATCTCCAGGTGGGTCTTCTCAGTTCTTCTACCCTGCTTCCATCTTTTTTCCTGAGTACCCTGTTGAGGTATGTGGAGAAAAGCCTGCAAATGGGCATAAATTACTGTTGTATCTGTGACTCCCAGAAATTCTCTAATTCCATGCTACCCTTTAGTAGTTCATGAGTAAGTTTAGCTAAATAATTTTTATCTACTTCTGTGTCATGGCTCCATCTTCTGTTGAGCTCTGCTTCTGCTGCGTGGATGCTCACATCTTGTCTCCTGGAGTTCTTTGTCCTTTTTATTATTTCAGGCTACTTGCGTAGCTTTCTGAGAGGTATAAGAAAAGTTACGATTTTCTCAATTATTCAGCTTTTTCTTTTTTGTTAGGGTCGTAGCAGAACTCTTCCAGCTTTCTACATCCTCAGTAGAAGCCATAGTCAAAAACTGGTATGTTTTGATGTTCTACTATAGACAGTTGTGATGTTTTTCAGTAAAGGGCTTAGCCTCATAGAAATAGGTATCTTCTGAGTTGGAATGATGAGTGTGTTCACATTTAAGACATGGTAACAGTGTGGAGCTCTTTAACAGTGCTACCAGCCTTCTTAACTGATACATAGTGTGAGTTTTATTTATGTACTCTGAAGCTTCACTGTCATGAATGGGTCAGACAGTTCTTTCAAGATTTCTTACAAGGTCTGTGCCTCATTTTAACTGCTAAATTCCTTGGCCTATGGCTAGACAAGTCTTCTTAGCTCATGAGCTAGTCACATGGCTGAGTTTGAACTAGACGTTCTCCAAGAGCTTTTCAGATGTGGTTTGCTGACTCTAAACCTTACATTGGTAATATATGCCAGGTAAGGACATCCTCATCTTTGATTTTGTTTTCCAACCCCAGAGAGCATCAACTAGGACACATTTCCAAGCTAGTCTTTTCCCAACCATGGCCATAGCTCATGGTGTTATCTCTTCTAAATTGCTAAGAAGTTGTAAGCTTTAGTTTCTAGTATCCCTGGATTACAGTGCCATATTTGGGGTACGTGTTCTTATTTTGATTTCAGTCAGTATTCTGTGGTGAAAATCAGTGGTAGGATGGGACAGTACTGTCAGTGCTTTGACCTGTTCTGGAGAAGAGGCAGGGTAGAGTGAGAGATCTGTGACAGGAGGCATGAAATGGTTGTGGTGGAAAAATAGAGATGTGGTATTCCTGGCTTAGTGTTAGTATCAAAAAGAGCCATCAGTTCCCAGGTCTCAAAATTGGTCCCTTGACCTTCATTTTCCACTCTTTCCTAGTTAAATCAGGGCCTTGATTACTAGTATTCTCAATATTTTTGGTCCTTTATGCAACACATTAATTTATCCTTGACAACTTAGTTTGCTTTTTCCCTGTATTGACCAAGGTAGGATGTATGTGGGAGTCATCTAGGAAGATAATCCTATCCTACTTAGCAATTGCCAGCTGTCTCCTATCCTGACTGACCTTAGTCCACCTGCTGCATCACTGAAAGAAAATGATGTAAGAACCACCACTTCCTTTGCCATGGTGAAGGCCAACATTACTATATTATGTTCATGCCTATGGAATCCAGATGCAGCTGTAGATCTTTTCATTACACTGTAGTCTAAGTATTACTGCCACTACTAATTATAGAGTTGGCTTGTAAGAGGAAACTAGTCTTGGTTGCATTCATGAGAAAAAGAAGTATGTTTAAATATGGATTTAAGACCCCTTCCTACTCTGGACACTCTTAGATCAGTGACCTTGGTGGAAGTCATCTGGCTGAGCACCATAGTGGCTGATGGGCTTGTTGGAAAACACTCAGGCCTCTCCACAAAAGTACACTCTCAAATACCAGGCACTTGAATTCAAGAATTGCTTATTTAACAACCCTTAAAGGAAACACTGATGCAGAACCTGGGAAACCTGGCCTATGTTCTTATTACTAAAAGTAACGAGATCAGCAGCATCAGCACGAACCTTGTCATAAAGTCAAGAGTATCATGCTAGAGGGACCATCTCTAGATTATGGTGACATCCAGGTGATTCCTGTGCAAACGAAAGCTTGGGACCCCAAATTTATGTGCCTTCTAGCAGCACCAGAATGGTGCAGTCTGCTGAGGGTGTGTGGTCTGATCAGATCACTCACATTGGAGCTCTAGTGCTCAGTCTTTGCTCCTTTTTTCCTCAGTAGCCATCACTCTCTCATGCCCTTATCAGCTCTCAAGACTGTAAATATGATTTGTCACCTTGCAAATCTAATTCTCCAGTTCATTCATTTCTCCTGGCTCCACACTCATCTGTCTCACTGGCAGCTGGCCACCTAACCTGCATTTCTAGCAGACACCTCAGCTCATCATCTCCTACATTGAGTGCCCTCCTCATGTGTGCCCTGTGAGAGTCTTCCCCTTTTCCACTGATGGCAACTTCACCTTTCTACTTACTTATGCTGAATTTGTGAGTGCACTCTGACTCCTTTTTCATGCTCTAGATTGAACCCATGAACAAATGCTGTAAAGTCCATCTTTCGGAGTGGATCCCAGGATCCACCTCCAGCCTAGAGGACTGGTTCCCTACAGTGTTCTCAATGCCTTGCTAGTCTGTCCATCTCAATTTGTTCTCAGCACAGTAGCCAGTGATTCTTTGAAAAGAGAAGTTGTACTGTGTTTGTTTTTTCTTAGAGCTGCCTCAAAGTAAGAATTCTTTCAGCAACCTATACGAGCTAGCCATTCCTCTGATGTCTTCTTGACTGCTCAAGACATCTCAGATTCCTTGCTGTCCCCAGAACACACTGATAGGATCTTACCCTTGCACATTTGTATCAAAGGATCCCCTTGTTTAAAAAAACTTTCTCCAGACATTCTTCCAACAATTTCCTTTATGTCCTTCAAATTTTTCCTCAAGGAAAAATTTTTCCTCAAGTGTCACCTCAACAAGGCCCACTCTGAGCACCCTAGTACATCTTGCCTGTCCCCACACCTACCCCAGATCACCTTTCTTGTAACACTTGCCATCTTCTACATTAACACTGTATTTTAATTACTGTGAATAGTATATCACCTGGCTCCTCCTAGTAGAACATATGCTATGTAAAGTTGGAATTTTAGCCTGTTTTTCATGCACATAATCTCTCATATAGCCAATGCTCTTCACATAATCTCTCATATAGCCAATGCTCAGACATAGGCATTCCTTGGAGATACTGGTTGAGTTCTAGACCACTGTGATAGAGAATATCTCAATAAAGTGAATCACAGATTTTTTTGTTTTTCAATACATTTATAAGTTGTGTTTATACTAATATATTCTATTAATAAAGAGTACAATTGTGTTATATCTGAAAACTGTACCTACTTTAATTAGAAATACTTGATTGCTAAAAATTGCTAACAATCATCTAAACCTTCAGTGAGTTATAATCTTTCTGGTAAAGGTAGGACCTTGCCTTCCTTGATGTTGATGGCTGCTATCCAGGTGGTTACTGAAGGTTGGGATGGCTGAGGCCATTTTAAAAAAACAAGACAACTGTGAAGTTTACTGCATCAGCTGATCTTTCCCAAAATATTTCTCTGTAGCATGTGATGCTGTTTGATAACATTTTACTCAGAGAACTTTCAAAATTGGAGTCACTCCTCTCAAACCCTGCCACTGACTTATCAATTGAGTTTATGTCATAGTCTAACTCCTTTGGTGTCTTTGAACAGTGTTCATAGCATCTTCACTAGATTTCATCTCAAGAAACCACATTCTTGCTCATCCATGAAAAGCAGCCCCTCATCATTAAAATTTTACTGTGAGAGTAGCTGTTCATTTCACATCTTCAGGCTTCACTTCTAACACTTTCACTATTTCCATCACATCTATGATTACTTCCTTCACTGAAGTCTTGAACCCCCTCAAAATCATCTAGGAGCGCTGGAATCAGCTGCTTCCAAACGCCTGTTTATATTGTGAACTGTGAATATTATTATTGGTAATACTAGGGTTTGAACTCAGCCTCATATTTGCTAGGTGCTCTACCACTTTAGTTACTTCACCAGCCCTGTTTTGTGTTGGGTAGTTTGAAGATAGAGTCTTGTGAACTATTTGTCTGGGCTGGCTTCGAACTTCGATCCTCCTCCTCTCTGCCTCCTGAGTAGCTAGGATTACAGGTGTGAGCCACCAGCACCTGGCTTAGGGGTTTGAACTCAGGACCTTGTGCTTGCTAAGCAGGTGCTTGAGCTATGTCTCCAGCATAATGAATTATTAGTATTCTTAATGACATTTAGGATGATGATTACTTTCTAGAAAGTTTTAAATTAACCTAGACATATCACGCATCACTGCGGCAGCTATATTCTGGACTGCAGAATGGATATTGAGTCAGCAGGCATGAAAACAGCAGTCTCATTGTACATCTCTATCAGAGCTCTTAGGTGACTGGGTGCATTGTCAATGAGCAGTAATATTTTGAAAGTAATATTTTCTGAACAGTAAGTCTCACAGTGGACGTAAAATACTCAGTAAATCATGTTGTAAGCAGATATACCCTCATCCAGGCACAGAAAGAATAGCTTTAGTATAATTCTTAAGGGCCCTAAGATTTTTAGAATAGTAAATGAGCATTGACTTCATTGACAAGTCACCAGCTGCACTAACACCTAAAAAAGAATCAGCCTGGCTGGATGCCAGAAGCTTACACCTGTAATCCTAGCTACTTGGGAGACTGAGATCAATCGGGAGGATCACAGTTTAAGGCATAAAGTGAGCATGTGCTATTGGGAAAATGGCCCTAATAGACTTGCTAGGGTTGCCACAAACCTTCAATTTGTTAAAAAAAAAAAAAAAGCAATATCCTATAAAGTTCAATAAAGCAAGATATGCCTGTATTTATTCAATGATTGATCAGCAGACCACAGCTTCCTTTTCTCGTAGCTTTATTAGCAGAACGTCAGACCAAGTGCTGCTCTGTGGCAGCTGCAGCACAAGGTCCTCTCACACTGAGGTCAGGGCTGGTTGGGTTTTTCTTACAAGTGCTGATCTTCCTCTCACATCAGTCCTCCTGTCCTCCACAGCACATGAATACATGTGCATTTTTTCTCAGAAAAGATGTTCCTTAAGCTGTGGGTGCTGACTCACACCTGTAATCTCAGCTATTTGGGAAGTGGTGATCAGGAGGATTGCAGTTTGAGCAGCCTGGCAAAAAGTGAGAGCCCATCTCAGTCACTGATGCATGCCTGTGATCCCAGCTGAGAGGCAGTAGGTAAGGGGATTAAGTGCAAGGCTGGCCCAAGGCAAAAATGCAAGACCATACCTGAAAAATAACTAAAGCAAAAAAGGGCTAGGGCATATTTCAAGTGGCAGAGCACTTAACTAGCAAGTGTGAGCCCCTGAGTTCAAACCCCAGTACCATCAAAAAAGAAACACATGTTCCTTGACTTAATGGATTGTATTTTCCAACTAACTAAAAATCTAAATTAGACTCTGCTTTATAAATCCATTTGAGAGAGCACTAGGATTAGTAGAGCTAAGGGCTGGGAGAGGGATAGGTGAGCAGAGTAGAAGAATTGCAACAAGAATTTAGGACAGGCAACTATGAGATTCCTCTTCACTACCAGTTCCACAATCTGGTTCTTTAAAAAAGGTAGAAAGGTTAGGGAAAAGAACAATACAGAAAAGCAGCCCTGGAAGGAGGGCAAGAGCTGGAAGTGCTTGAAAATGTGTCTCTTGAGACCATAGTCTCCTGTGTGTAGAGGCCTTGTAGGGTAATGCCAGACAGAGCATCTCCTGCTGCTGTCAGAGATGGACAACACCCCCAGGAAATGAGGCCAGGACTTGTCCCAAAAAAGAGTGTTCTTTTTGATCTTCAGAAACTAAAACACTTAAGTTGGATGCTGAGGGGATGCTGAGAGTCAGGCTTAGGATAACTCAGACACATGAAGCCCTCACTGTCTATGGTTCTAGACAGGATAAGGACTAGGTCATGACTGTGTCTCTGTGATCATAGGTCCTGTGGAACAAAGGTCTGTTGAATGAGCAAGGGCAACCAAGAGGCAAAAATGACCTAGCTGAAAAACCCACAATGGACTAGCACCAACGGGGCATAGCATGGTCCACACTTGGGTCCTTACTGCTTTCTGACGCCACCTGCAGCAGACTCAGCACAGCAAATGTGGATACTGGAAGGGTCTGAGGTTTTATTTCCTCTCAAAAGCTTTTAAAATTCTTCCTGTCCTTTAAAACATCAACCCCACCTCATGGCAAGAATTTTAAGGAGAAATTTATATCCAGATGCTTATTTTCAATAGGAAATAAATTGCAGCTCAGTGAAATGTAACATTAAAAGAGATGGAGATGTCCTAGTCTCAATCTGTTGGAGTAAGAAAGTTGATCAGTAAAGAGAACACAGTGTGGGAAGGGACCTTAGTGCTCAGGGATGGGCCAGGCTCCTCACTTCCTCATTATGCTGATAGGAATACAGGTAATGGATACAGATGCCAGTTGCAAAAAGAGTCAGGAGCTCTCAAAGCCACAAGTGTGTGTGTGTGTGTGTGTGTGTGTGTGTGTGTGTAAGGGGTCTCGAACAACTCTTGTATCATTGGGTCCCACACAAAGTGGCTGTCTAATGCTGTAGAAGAAAATAATCATGAAAATCAGATCAGTCACTGTAAGTGGTGACACATTGAACAGCCAGCCCACCACACAATATGTCCAAACAAGAGAGTCCCATAACACAGTCCTGTCCCCTCCGCCCCACCCTTCTCCAAATCGAGGCCCTCCAGTATCTCATCATTAGAAACTTAAAAAGATACATCAGAATCCTGAGCACTGTCCCTGGGTGTGGAAGAACAAAACAGAAGCCGGTCAGACCTCGGAGATGTGGCTGAAGGAAGAATTATGGGGTGGGTGAGCTCCCCTATGGGATCCCATTTCCAACCCCAAGGGTATCACAGATCAATCTCTTGTATACTTAACAGGCAGCCTGAGCATAGCTCTCTACTCTTCCACCTGTGAGAAGAAAACATCCTGTGAGAGGCCAGGGAGGATGCAGGGCCTTGAGGTCTTAAAAGAACCAGCAAATTCTGGACCCCAGAGCAGTTTCCTAAACTGTCTGCAGACCCAGGGCAGGATCAAGAAACATGAGGAGAGGAGATCTGAAAGAAGAGGACCCTTCAAGTGGTCTGTTCTCAACAGGGACCAGTGACCCCCAACTGCTCAGAACCAGGCCCTTGTGGCCACATCACTATGATACTTGGTCCTTGATTTTTACATGTGATTTACAAATGAGTAAGTGTTAGCAAACAGGTTGGGTACTTCCTGCTGATGAGGCAGGACACACTTTCACCTGGGGCTTGGAATTCCCCAGTGGAACAAGAACTCAGGCCACACTCCTCACCCCTTTCTTACCCGGTAACTTTCTTCTGCACATCACAACGACGACCACAGCTCCAAGGAGAACCAGGCCTGCAATCATTCCTGTGATGGGGATGGTGGGTTGAAGAGGTTGCTCTGGGAAGGAAGAGGAAGAGGAAGTGAGAGGTGCTGGCCCCTGGCTCTCAGCCCTGGTGAAGTTGATCAGGACTGACCCAGACACATGAATCGCTCACTGCCTATGGTCTTAGACAGGATAAGGCCCAGGCCATGGCTATGTCTCTGTGATCATAGGTCCTGCTGGAACAAGTCTATTGAATCAGCAGGGACAAGTGACAGGCCAAAATGACCCAGATGAAAAGTTGCTCCTGCTTTCCCTGATAAGAGGCTCTGTGCCCACGTCCCCTCCTTACCCCATCTCAGGGTGAGGGGCTCACGCAGCCCCTCATGCTGCATATGGCACATGTATCTCTCCTCCTCCCCAGAAGGCACCACCACAGCTGCCCACTTTTGGAAGGTTCCATCCCCTGCAGGCCTGGTCTCCACAAGCTCCATGTCCTGGCTCAGGTCCTCCCCATCCAGCTGCCAGGTCAGGGTGATCTCCTTAGGGTAGAAGCCCAGGGCCCAGCACCTCAGGGTGGCCTCATGGTCAGAGATGGGGCAGTGGGTTATGTGTGTCTTTGGGGAATCTGGGGAAGAATCCAGAAATTGAGACGTTTTGTGTTACTTCCTGTGGGGCACTGAAGCAGCACTCATGTGACCATCCACAAGACGACTGGAGTGGTGGGGGAAGCCCAAAACCCAGACACCAACCAGCTTCTGAGATTATCACGTATTCTTTGGAAAGTTCTAGAATTATGTGGCGACATCCTAGAACAACAGGTCTGTCCTGGGTGGAGTAAGAGATTGGCAAAAGCTGGAGTCAGATCTCCAAAGACACTAGGTGGAAAACGAGGCCTGAGAGTCTCCCTGAGATGCTGCTCTCTGCAGAGTGAAAGGGACCTGCTGGGCGGTTACTTAGGACCCATCTTCTCCTGGGACCCTAGAGAGAGACTGGTTCTAACTGTCTTAGACAAGGGCGGACTTCAGAATCACTCTCCAATACCGTTTCTGGAAAGCCAGTAAAACCCATCCTGGTCTAGACCAAAGCGGGTGCAGCATCCTAGGGCGGGTCCCATTTCCCTCCCCTCCTCGTGGGAGGTGGGCGGGGAGATCTTCATAAGACCAGGGAGGTGTCCCGCGGCTCCTCGCACCTGTGCGCTGCAGGATCTCCTTTCCCTTCTCCAGGTGGCTGCGGAGCCACTCCATGCACGTAACTTCCAAGTAGGGTCTGTGGTGCTCCGCCTCACCCGTCGTTTCATACTTGTCCTGGGTGATCAGGGCCACCCTGTTTGCCGCGGTCCAGGAGTGGAGGTCCTCGTTGAGGGAGATGTGATCCATGCCGTCGTAGGCGGTCCTGTAGTACTTGCTGAGGAAGCGCCCATCACGCTCCATGTAGCAGCCACGCATAGATTGAATGGAGTGATATCCTGGCACCAAATCAGCAATCAGCCGCGTCGACCTAATCCCACCCCGTTCACTTAGTCCCGCCCCTCGAGAGAATGCCGGGTGGTGATTGGTTAGAATCTTTTCCCGGTGAAACTGACCAGAAGCCCGAGCAAATTGCGCAAGCTTTGAGGGATCGAGAAGGTGACATCTCTCAGCCTTGGGGATATAAGTGGACCTGAAGATTCTGGGCCACCCAGGCCGGTCCACGCAGGATGGGGGAAGGTCGTGACTCACCGGCCTCGCTCTGATTATAGTAGCCGATCAGGGTCCGCAGATTCACGCGGAAAATCTGTGCGTTGGCCTTGCCTATCCGCGTCTGCCGGCCCCTTCTCCATCCACCGCGCCCACGGCTCCTCTCTCGGGTTCGCGGCGTCGCTGTCGTACCAGACAAACTGGGTGTCGTCCACGTATCCGAAGGCGATGAAACGGGGCTCCGGGTGCCCTGGCTGGGTAATGGCGGTGCGAAATTCCTCAGGGAGTGGGATCCTGGGGACGAGGAGCGGCTGAGACGCAACGCTACCCTCCTCCCAGCGCGGGACCCCAGATCCTAGATTGATGGGGCCGGAGGGGAGAAGGAGGCTCTTGGGACAGAGAAGGGGCGGCGGGACGTAAGGGCGAGACGGGCAGATCGGGACAGAAGGGGCTGGAGACGGGGTCTGGGAGTTGTTGGGACCAGGAGTGGGCGAAGTAGGGCAGTGTCTGCTGGAGCAGCCGAGACGCGGCTTTCCCGGTCCTGAGCTCCCGCCCACGGTCCCTTCGCTCCTCCCCGGCAGGGGTCGTTTCCCTCCCGACCCCGCACTCACCCGCCCAGGTCTCGGTCAGGACCAGGGCCCCCGAGAGCAGCAGGAGGAGGGTTCGGGGCGCCTTGGCCTCCATCTGAGGGGATTTCCTCACCGGGAACAGGGGTGACGCTGGTTGGTTTCTCGAGGAATGCGACACCCAATGGGAGTGAGAACTGGGGTCGCGTCACGAGTGTCCAGGCGGAAGATTGTATGGGGAAAGAAGTGAAACTGCAGAGATGTGGACCCCAGCACTCGCCTTCGGCACCCCAGGCACCGCCTTCGGGCCTGAGACCCCGAGAGTCCTGAGCCCCTCCTCCCGCACCAAGCGCTCTTCCACACATGGTCTCCTCAATTCCTGATCAGGACCTGTCTTAGGTCAGCCGTTCTCAGACGTTTTGGTTTCAGGATCTACACTGGTTCTTAAGAATTAGTGAGGATCTCAAAAGTAAATATCTTTGTGAGTTATATCTAGCAATATTAGAGATTAAAGCTGTTGAAAATATATTTGATTGAGTTAGAATATTGATAATCCATGTATTAACAAAATAAAAACTTATGAGAAGTAATTATTTTCCAAAATAGCCAGTATAGTCAGAGTGTACCTTTTTACACTTTATATTTTTGCAAGTCCTTTTCTTGTCTGTCTGATTCAAAGACCACTGCATTTTCATATCTGGGGTCTTGCAAATTTTACCCAGGGCTGCCCTTGAACTGTGATCCTCCTGATCTCAGTCTTCCAAGCAGCTAGGATAACAGATCTGAGCCCCTGGTGCCCGGCTCCTTCTTCCTTTTTTACAGTCATTGACAGCTATAAGCTTTCCTGGAAGTCATTAACAATCCAATAGATTTGGATTGTCCCTTCATTTTCATTAATCTGAAAATGTTTTCTAATTTTTGTTTTTATGTTATTAACCCATCGTTTATTCTGGAGTGTGCTTTTTAATTTCCATATATTTTTGAGTTTTTCAAATTTGTTTCAGTTATTGATTGCTTTCTAATTTCATTCAACTGGTCAGAGATCATGTTTTATGTGATTTCTATCCTTTAAATTTTATTAATGTTTGCCTGATTGTCTAGCATATGGTGTATACTGAAAAATATTATGTATGTGCTTGAGAAAAATGTGTATGCTGCTGTTATTGAGAGGAGTTATTGAGTAAGTGTCCATTTGGTCTAGATGTTTTAGTCTTCAATTTCTTTTTTAGAATATTTTCTTTTGTGTGTGTGTGGAGAGAGGAGGTGGCCCAAACAATGTATATACATGTGAGTAAGTGTAAAAACAATAAAAAAATATTTTTTGTGTTACTGGGGATTGAACTCAGGGTCTTGAGCTTGCGAGGGAACCAACCACTCGACCAATCAAGATACACTCCTGGTTCTTCAATTTCTTTGTGAATCTTTTGCTTAGTTGTGCCCATTAGTGAACATAGAATATTTGAAGTCTCCAAATAGTATTTCTATGTTCTGTGCTTCTCTTAATTTCTGTCAGTTATGTCTACCTGAATAGTACATTCTGAGAAATGTATCATTGGGTGCTTTTGTTGTTGTGTAACATCATAAAACATACTTACACAAACTAAGAGAGCTATGACATCACTACGTGACATAATCATAGCAGACGATCACTCACTACTGCAGTGTTATGTGGTATATGATGGTATTTTGGTGCTTGGTTGTTAGCTGAATATATACTTTATTCTTTTTCTTCAAAAAGATTGATTGAAAATATTTAAATTCACCTTTATCAAAATATAGTTTTAATATTCTTTGTGCAACCACTACTTGCTTTTTTATAATAAAACTTAGTATTACAAAAAATGTACAAAAATTTACAACTCTGTGTATTTTACTAAGGGGAAACAAATTATTTTAAGATTCCTTAGAGAAAGAGAACCATTATAAGATGATTTTTTAAAGAAGTAGCTTATAATTCAAAATTTAAACATTTCTCCTCCTCTTCTTCCTTCTTCTTTTTGTTTGTTTTTGAGATAGGTATCATTATATACCCCAGGCTGGCCTCAAACTTGCATTCTCCTGTTTTAGCTTCCTGAGTGTTGCATATATACTTTAAATTGTTATTTCTTTCTGATGGGTTGACACTTTTATCATTTGCCATGAGTTGGTCAAGTATCCCCTGAAATGCATGTGTTAAATACTTGGTTTCTTCTCATGGCACTATGGAGAGGTGTAGAACCTTTTAAGAGGTGGGGCCTACTGGAAGGAAATTAGATCACAAGGAATGTGGTCTTGAAGGAGACAGTGGGACATGAGCCCATTCTGTGTATCTTCCTTCCTGGCCACTATGAGGTGAACAGCTTGCTCCATCATAGGCTCCCACTATGATCTTCTGCCTTACCACCAGCCCAAAGGAAATGGGGCAAGTAACTATGGACTGAAACTTCTGAAACTGTGAGCCAAAATAAACCTTTCTTCCTTATAAGTTGATTGTCTGGGGTATTTTGTCACAGTGAGAGAAAGCTGACCAACACATCATTCAAAATGTCCTTGTTTACCTCCACTAGTATTTTTAAAAGTCTGTTTTCCCTGATATTTGTGTGCCCACTTCAGTTTTCTTTCTTCCTTTTTGTTATTGTTGATGGTGTTTTGTTGTTGTGTTGTGCTACTGTGTAGCATAGGGTGGCCTTAAACTCATGATCCTCTTGTCTCAGGTTTCTCAGTGCTGGCATAGGTGTGTGCCACCATGCCTGGCCATGCCTGGCCCCAGCCTGGTTTCCTTATGGTTGCTGTTAATTTTTCAGCTTTTAGATTTTAGTCTATTTGTAATTTCGAATCTCTAGCTGTCTACTGTAGCATATAGTTTAGCCACATTCTCTCTCTCTCTCTTTCTCTCTCTCTCTCTCTCTCAGTTTGTTTTTGAAATAGGGTTTGCTAACTAACTTTTGCCTGGGTGGCCTTAAATGGTGATCCTCCTGCTTGTACCTCCTGAGTAGTTTGGATTAATTATGTGCACCACCATTCTTGGCTATTTCATTCTTTCATCCATTGTGACAAACTCTGCCTTTCAATTGGCTTCTTTATTCCATTTCCATTTAATGTTAAAATTGATACAGTTGAACTTGTCTGTGATTTTACTTTTTATGTGTCTCATGTCTTTTGAGTTCCTCTATTTTCCCTTTACTGATTGTGCAGGTGTTAAGTGGGAATTTTGTACTATAGTATGTTAATTCCCTTGATAGTTTTTTTCACTGTAGTTTTCTTAATGGTTGCTCTCAAGTCTTCCCAAGTACATATGGTCTTATCATAAACTACTTCAGAAATACACTGAATTTCAGAAAAATTAGAAATGCCATTCTCTACTTCCTCTTCTTCTTGGTGCTGTTATTAAATATATCAAAGCTGAAAATGTATATATTGTAAAAGTCATAACATTTTGTAATTATAGTAAGTTTCAATTTGTGTGCCTTCAGCCACACGATCTTTCTACAATAGAGTTTACCATTAATTCCATCTCCTGTTCAATGTCTTTTTCATCTTGGATATTTTTATATTTCAGATTTGATTTTTATCTTTTGTGTGTCTTTCCTGTTTCTTATGTGACTAATTAGAAATATGTAATTAATTTGCCATAAGTGTTTTAAAACTATTGTCTGTTAACTTCACCCTTAGTGTCATTTCTAGGTTAGTTTAGATTAATTACTTTTCTCTGCCTTCTGAATTGCATTTCCTTATTTTCATTTTAATGCTTCATGACTTTTTATTTAGTGCCAGATGTTATGACTTTATCATGTTAGGTGCTAGATATTTTTGTATTTTATAAATATACTTGAGATCTTATTTCCAGGAAAATTAAAGTTATTCAGGTGCTGTCCAATCCTTTTGGTGTTACTTTTAACATTCATTAGACAAAACAAAGTATTTAGCCAATGATTATTCACCAATACAGACACTGGACCCTTCTGTATCCTCTATCCAGTGTTCAGCAAACTCTGAGGCTTTCTAGCATAGCTACTGGATACTGACATGGTTTCTGGCCTTGTGGATCCTAGGTACCATTGCTCCCTCCAGGTCCTTTTGGATTGTTCTTGGGAAGTTTCTTCAACATTTGACTGCCCCAAGATGATCAGCTAGACCACACTGTGAGCAGGACTGTTAAACAATTGTGTGTGCCTCTAGCCTGCTGTCCCGGCTCTCTATTTAAAGTTCATGTCTGTGTCCTGAAGATGGGCTGAAGTGCTTATTTACGCTTCCCACAGTGTACCTGTGCTGCACAATCCTCTTCCTATACTGTCACCACTATGTATCTCTTTATTTGGCATGTTGGGTCGAGTGGCTAGACCTGACATTTGGAATCCCTGAAGATGGGGCTCTTGCCTAGAACTCTGGTTATATAAACACTCTTGTGTGGGGAATAAAACAGGTTTTCACTTCTTACTCTGATGAGATGAATCCTTGTTTCCCATTTACACTTTCTGTCTGGATCATCTCTCAGATGCTTGCTGCTGTTTGGATGTAAAGTGTTCCCCAAAGGCCCAAGTGTTAAAGACTTGGTCCCCAGTGTAGTGTCCTGGAGGTGATGGAACCTAGGAGAGGGAGGAATTAGTGGGGATCCATAGGACATTGGGATATGCCTTTGAAGAGGATATGGGACCCTGGCCCCCCTTGCTCTCTTTTCCTTCCTGCCAAATGAGGCGATGGGTTTGGCTCTGCCAAGTTGTCCTGCCATGATGTGCTGCCTCACCACAGGTGTACAGTAACAGGAACAATCACTCATGGCCTCTATCCACCAAAACTGTGAGCCAAGAAAAGCCTCTGTCTTTAAAAGTTATCTTAGGCATTTGGTGATGGTGCCAGAAAGATGAGTACAAAGATCTATACTTTGTGAGCCTGAGAAAATCAAAGCTTAGGTTTTACCAGATTTGGAAAATGCCTTCTTGTTAAGAACATCATTTCTGTCTGAATTCCTGCCAAAATTTATATTTTAATATTTATAATTTGGGATGCTTCTTCCATTTTATCTTCCTTTTAGTTGTTTTTAGTGGAAAAGGCAGCCCGAGAATCTCATCGACCACATTACTAAAAATGGATTCTCCATGAACTACTGATTCATTTCTGCTGTTAATTTGACATCAGGCTAGAGGCTGGAATACAAGTCTTTCTAGACTAATGCCACTCAAAGTGTACTCTGTGGCCTCCACTGGCCTGTGGACTGCATGTGGCCAGCCTACAAAAA